CGCCCCGCAGCTCTGCACTCACAGAGCTGAGTGGGGAACAAATTGCCCAGCCTCCACCCGGCATGCAGGGACAGGTCCCAGCCCCATGCCCCAATCGAGTGATCGAGGCATGGGGCTTGGAAAGAGCTGCAGGAATGGGGTAGGTCGCAGCCTCCTGCCCCCAGCTCTTTCCAAGTCCCCTGCCCCTAATCGGGAAGTCAGGGCCAAGAGTTCCTTACTGCCAGGGCAGGGGGGCATTGTCCCTGCCCTAACAGCAGGTAGCTCCCTGGGGTCAGGAGACAGCTGCTACCTGGCCCGGTGCTCCCTGCTAGCCTCTGAGCTAGCACCCAGAGGTAGCCTATAGTTTCCCCGATGGTGGCAGGGGCCATTGCACGGCTGCAGGAAACATGGTGCAAAGAGCAGCAAATCTGCTCCCTAATCCCCGCATCTGTAGATGCATGCCCAAAAATGCTTAATCCAGAGTAGTTTAGACCAGAGTAAATCTATGCCAGAGTAAATGGATGTGTAGATGTGCCCAGCAAGTAGCACCCTAGTGCATGTGTTTTCCAACCCAAGTCAACAGTGACTACTTAAAGCAGTGATCACTCTTTCTGGCAGGTGTGTCACAAACTAAATGCCACTTTGATCCCTTTCCCCTGTCTAATCTGCTACTCTGCTTTCTGGTCCATGCCCAATCTGCCACTGTGTCCCCTGCTTCCTCCTAGATCTGTCACATGCCACACAGGCTGTCTCTGCCGCCTGCAGCACACATGCTGCAAATTGGCCACCCTGTACCTTATGGCATAAGGTGCTATTCAACATGTCCTCAAGTGACTACATAACTAAATCAATTAGGGGAGGAAAATAATGCATATGAACCAGACTGGCACATATATGCAAGCATATAATTAGCACACGGGAGCATCAATGCCATTGTGTCCCCAAGGACGCAAGGACACTAGGCAATGCTGCAGATAAAGGAACAGATAATGTGTTAATGGCATTGACCAATTGGATAGGAAAGTCACAGATACCAGCAGCATCAAAAGAAGAACTCATCCCAAGCATAAAACCTCGGTCTTGCCTTGACAAAAGAGTTGTCTAAGGAAAGAAAACTAGGACACAGTAAAAGCAATTCCCCATGGAAGTGGTTAGGATAGGATATGGTAACGACCCTTGGTTTTCTTCCTCTTGCTAACACATTATTCTAAAGTGAGGGGGGGCAAAATATGGCCTGTGGGCTGGATCTGTCCTGCCAAGGGATTTTAACCAGCCTGTGGTGGGTCCCTTGGTCCTGCCTGGCCCAGGCACAGGGGGGAGCCTGAGTCATGGCACTTGCAACTGGTCCCACCACCCCTGGGCACGCAGCAGGGTGGGGTGGCACAGCGGCCAGAAGCCACTTCCCAGCAGCCCCAGTGGCAGCGGCTCATTCTGGCAATTTACCAGAATAGGTATGCTGCATCATTAATGAATAATTCATATCAATACATGAGTAAAGATGAGTTGCTAATCTTTACATGATTATTTTAGAAGAGCCATTACAGTGAAGTTACATGTGTAGACAAGCCCTTAGACTCACAGACTCATAGAAAGAAGGACCGGAAGGGACCAGTAAGATCATCAAGTCCGGACAGGGCCATGGGCAGGAGGTAATTGGGCTCAAATGAGCTCTACGAGGTATTTGTCCAGCCTTCACTTAAAGACTGCCAGAGATGGCGACTGCCCACCTCTGCTGGAAGTGTGTTCCAGATCCTAGCTACCTAATACCTATATTTATAAAAGACCAGCCTTGTATACAGTCAAGGCCCCCCTTGGAAAATGTCAACTCTTAGCTTTCATTCTTTTTTGACCTCAGAAAAATAGTAGTGCAAGTCTTCTGCTGCGAGGAACTCAGAAAGGAACAAGAGATCAAAGAATGGTCTGAAACTAGCAATTCCTATTTAAACATCTCGGTTTATCTTGTGAATCACCTGTGGTTATTTGCACACCTAATAGCACTTAAGTTGTGGCACCCTTAAAAGGATCTCTCAGCATCCCAGGCTACCATGGCACCCTACTTGAGAAATAGTGCCTCAGACGGTGAAATTACATTCCACCCGTTGGACCATGTCCCCTGTACAAATTGGCATAGCTCCATTGCTTTCCATACACCTGTGCCAGCTCACACTAGCTGAGGATCCATCCAGGTATGTGCTCTGGAGAAATCCAGAAAAATCCTGAGTATCTCCCTACTAAAAATCATGCCCCTTGTAATGTGCTTGTGTTTGGGTATCCAAAAGTAGAGATGCCCAACGTCATTAGGAGCCATTGAACATTTTGGCATACTCTATAAATAATACAGATATTGAAAATATGGCCTATCCTACATGTATATTGCACTTGCAGCCTAATGCTCTCCTAGCTGGGATTTGCTGACCCTTTTGGCTCAGACAAATAGCTGAGGCCTTGCTGGGTTCTTTCTTTCAGTCAGGTATTTCTTCTGTGCAATCTCATTTATGGATGAAAACCAGGCATGATGTTTGTTTCCCTGAACACTTAACAGCAGGCAGTTTCCCTGCTCCCAATTTCTTGCCAATCACATCAGTGCTCCCAAGATCTCCGACTCCTTGGACCTTCATGGGGACTTTCCGATAGCTATCCCTCTCCCTCTCTTTCTCTCTCAGCTTTCTACATCTATTGCACCAACTTACACATGGCTGTAACCATCCCTTCACCCTTGTACTCACAGCCAGTCAGAAAACAACCCCTGACCCCACGCTAGTTAGCTTTAATTGGCCTTGCCATGTGGTCAGGCACTTTGGGCAGTTGCTTTCTAGTGTTTCTAGCTGTCACTACATAATGTTGCATTTAATTGCTCCTTTCAATTTATCTGAAGGTTGTTTAGCACACCCATCTGATTTGACAAGCCTCTGATTGTTTCTGATCAAAGATATTCCAGCAGGATGGATTGAAGGGTTTATTGTCACAACCTGACTCTTTATGGGGGGAAAAAATCTCAGTTCACATTAGTTACTGAAATCAATGGAAGTTAGGTGTCTAGACATGTTTATAAAGCTGATGCCTCTTTAAATCTTCAGCCACTGAAATATTTTTATAAATGTGACCCTCTGTCCTTTGTAGGCTTCAGCCATACTCTTGCTAGATGATAAATAATGCAACTGCCACAACCCAGAAAACCACTCAGAGAGATAGAGTCTGCCAGCTTGTACTTTGTGAGACTGTACTTCATGCAACTGGCAATAAAATAAAGAAAGCAAAGAAATTATTAGGAAGAAAAATGATTTGGGAGAAAAAGAAGTGAAAATACTGCATTATTCCCTATCAGACAAGGAAGTAATAGAGACATTAGTTCAAACACTGAAGCCTTCTGTAGAGGGCTAACCACAAATCACTTCTAGGAAATCACTGAGAAATTAGAAATTCATGGCAAATCGGCAAAATTAGGGCACATCCAGCTATAATGCAATTCTGAGATCTCTTGGCAGCTCACATTCAGGCCAAATTTATAACTCCAGCACCTATACATATTCAGAGGAGGCAATGGGCCAGATCCTCAGGTGGTGTCAATGCGGGAAGTTCAATGGAGCCACAATAATTTACATCAGCTGAGGACGCAGCTTTGTGGCTACATTAGGAGGCTTAGCAGCAGATTGCCCCACATAGGAAGACAGGGTGATGGTATCACCCCCCACGCAGCCAATATTTGTTGGGATGACATGTCTCTAACCAGTTCCAGACTGAAAGAGCCCACAAAAAATAAGGAGAAGCTCATTTGGGCAAAGAGGCTGGGTTATTCATTTTTAGCAAAGCAACGCTGCAGCTTCCTTTCTAAAGGCATTTCCTTCCTGCGGCTGCCCGTCCACACGCAATGCAAAGAGCAAGATCAGACTTCGCATGTTTGGAATAATTTCTCATCCTATTGGCACTCTGTGGACCAACTGTGTTGTCCGGTAGTTTGTGCTAGGGTAGATACCCGCAGTCCTTCCCTTTGGGACGCTGTGAGCAGCTACAATTAGTGACTGGACAGCCTTCTTGGGAGAAAATATTAATTAACTGTAACAGAATAGTGTAAGAGAAAATGACAAACCACCCACGTCTTACTTCATGACTGAACAGTACTTTATATTGTAACCTAATTATGTAAAGAATCAGCAGTCCCTTGATTGGAGGATGATCTGACACGGCTCATTGATGTGTCTTGATGCAACTGAACCTTGAACCACAGCTGTGTCCACAGCTGGGAGACAAGTCTGGGAGCTGACCCTGCCTGCGAAGACTGAGTCCCTGATCGTCTTCGAAAAGAGGGCTAGCCAGCCATGGGGTAGAAATCATCCTCGTATTGAGGGCTAGCCGACCACGGGGTAAAAATCGTCCTTGAATTGAGGGCTAAGTGACCACAGGGTAGAAATTGTCCTCAAATCAAGGGATAGCTGACCATGGGATCAAAATCGTCCTTGAATTGAGGGATACCCAGCCACAGGGCAAAAATCATCCTCAAATCAAGGGGCAGAAATCATCCCCAAATTGCAGACTTGCAGACCATGGGGTTGAAATCACTGTCAAATGAAGGGCCAGCCGACCGCGGGGTAGAAATCGTCCTTAAATCGGGGGGAGCCAGCCACGGGGTGGAAAGCACGCTCGAAGCGAGGGATAAGCAACCCGACGTTCCCCCCCCGTGCGGGCGGGGCCACCCCAGGCCGCGGGACCCGGGGCCTCCGAACGCCGGGGCGGAGGGGTGGGCGGGGCG